TTAAGCTGTTGGTTAGCATGTTTTGAGCTAATTAGACTGTGAATTTATAATTAATTGGATGAAGTTATACTTAGTCTGTGGGTGGCAACCTCTGTTAGAGGCATGGTATAAAATACAGGGAATAATAACGTCATGGCTGTTTAACCAGTGATTGTCAGATAGAAACTGAGATCAAGTTTCTGTTTTCAAGATGCCATATGCTATCAGGCTCAGGTGTGTCTTTTTTTTTTTTTTTTTCCTAGGGAAAATTCTACTCGAGCCATTTGAGTTCTTAAACATGAAAAAGAAGGTTGTTTCTGGGTAACTTAGAAGCACATGTAGTTTTAATCTCCTATTTGTCTTATGATTAGAGCTTTAAAAAGGGACTAGTCACTTTGCAAATTAATCTTCTGAGCTGCAGAAATTCTAGGTGAAAGATAGTGGATGGCTAAAACCATATTTTATATCATGAAGTATTTGTGGTCTTCAAAAAACATTGTTGGCAACAGCAATGAAGTTTGAAACAAGACAATCCTTCCCTTCCCCATGCACAGAGTTCTGAGGTGGTGAAGCTAGGTAACCTCTTGGGCACCAGTGGAAATCCTCCTGGCCCCCAGTGTATATTTATTACTGTTGCTCATTTGGTAAGCATGGTTTTGTGTACACTGTTTTAAATGCACCCATTTCTGCATGTTTTAAAAACAAATACATATCCCACACATACTAATATATGGAATACTTTACTTATGATCCACACTTAAAATCTTTTTGATTCAACCAGTCTCCCTTTCTTTTCTTGAGTTACTTGATGCAGGTGGAAAACTGAGTGCGTGCGGGTGCTCTTCCTCATGGCCTGGCCTGTCATAGGCTGAGTCACATGGACACACTGTGGATGCAAACATAGATATTGCTCCTCTTTTCTCTTTAATATACTTCTAATATTTTCTAGAGGAGAACAAAAATGTTAATAAAATCATTGTGTGTTTTCCTCAGTGATAAAGTTCAGTTAAAAATATTTTTCTTGATAGCTACGTCTAGCTCTATATATAGAGAGAGAGAGCTAAAAGATCTTTTTCAGCTGTGACTTTCCCATATATCTCTGATGAACTCATAGTGCAGATTCAGTGTTGTAAGAGATGTAATTTTGCTTGTTGGTGATCATTCAGGAAGAAAATCTAATCTCAGATTGCAGGCCAAACTTGCAAAGCCAGCAGGAAATCTATTACTGTAACTGTGAAAAGAAATAGATTTCTTCTGGATGCTGTCAGGTCCTGAATATTTTGACAGCTATGTCACTTTAAGTTTTTCCAGAGTAAATTTCTTTAAGAAAGTATTTTAAATTAAGTTTATGTGGCAGGAAATAGCTGAAATCTGAACACCTGAACTGAACTTTTCTGGCTGGTGAACACGCGCTGCATTTGACTGAAGTTCTTTATGAGGATACTAAAGCAGAAATAAACCATGCAGCTGGTGCATTAAAATGCTGAGACTTAATTTACATTGTCTTAAAGTTTACTTTAAAAAGCATTTGATCAGCTGTGGTGCTGTGTAGTAATCTGTTACTTAGGGCTTAGATATTGCTCCACACACTGGTGTATGTTTATGATGAAGGTAGATGTCTTTTCATGATGTTAGGCTGCAGACCTTGCCTGTCAGAAGTTTGAGTTATTGAACTGCAGAGGAGGTGTTTTTACCTGGACACAGAATAGCTGTCAACCTTTTTTTCAGTTATAGGCAACACTGAGAACAGTGCTAAACTCTTGGGTATGTGAAACTTGAAAGCTAATCTGGCTTCACAAAAATAATGTCTGGGAGCATCACTGTAAGCCATTGAAGTTTAGAAGGTACTTTATAATTGTTTCAAATAACTTTTCTGTATGTATTGGCTTAGCCTCACAGTTCTTGGTGCAGTGGGGTTTTTTTTTGCGTACAGAGAAGACAATTATATAATTAAGTAATTGATTTAGTAAGGCAGTAAAAAGGTGAAAACAGAAAAAAAACCTCTCTGTATATTTTTTGTGTATTTCATCCTACGCATTTTTGAGAAGAGGGATTTAGAATGATACTGTACCCAAAGCATTTTCAGTGTCACTAAACCCCTGCTGTCCTGCACCGTTTCAAATTTGAGCTCTCACAGAGGCTATCAAGCAAGCAGACATCTAGCTGATTTTTGTTTTCCGTGATTTTTATAACCTATAGAAACTTCATGTTCAGTTAGTGTTTTGAGAATTCAGTTAATACTTGTAATGATAGATAAGCTTTATTTTAGTCTTCAGATAGCATTTTTTTTTTCTTCCGTAATTAGGCTATAGTCACTGGTGCTTTTAAGTAAACCGAATTGGTTAGAAAGCAGTTTCTCTGGAGCAGCAGAATGTATGTGTGTATATATATGTGTTATGTAGCTATAAAAAACCTTCCTTTCTTTTCCTCACTAATTGCATAAAGAAGTGGCATCTGACAGAGAAGCAACATGAGGCTGTATTAACATCTCTCTAACAGTGCCCTTCAAGTCAAGACAGCTTTAGTAAAATCATTACTTTTCTGTCAGAAGAAAAATGATTATTTATTTTTTCCTTGGTCGAGATTGCAAATCTTCATAGGATATCTTCCAAAAAGTTCATGAGCTGTAGTCTAGAAAGGATGGGTACACAAGTGACTGTTAGAGGTGTGGTTATGTTTGGAGACTTGTTTTGCAGCATAGTAAATAGCTTGAAGCTTCAGCATTTTAAAAAAAATACCTGTTCTTGAATCATCTTCATACCTGTATTTTAGTACTTAACTGCATTGCTCTGACTATGCTGCATATGTCTATCTGGTTATCATTTCACTGCTGATCATGAACTTCTTCCCTGTCTTTTAAAGCCTGAGGCTCATTTAATTTCTGAACTCAACAGCTGATCATCCTAATGTTCTCTGCTGGGTAGTTGAATTGTCTCTTGTCAGCCTTTTTATTTGAGAGTACTAAATATCAGCTGGCTGGCTAATATTCAATTAGAAATTGAAACTGTTTTTAATGAATTGGGCGAAGCCCACTGGAATTGTCTGAGAAGATACTTGTGCATTTTTCAGTGCACATATTTGGAATCAGTTTGTTAATTCTGAAAGCAAGTCTTTTTATTAATATAAGAACTGAATATGCTGCAGTCATGGCTTCCTTTTAAACCAGTAAGTTATATATTATAAAAAAAGTAGCTGTGATTTGTAGAACTATTTGAGTAAAACTGAAAGTGTGGAAACAGTTCAGTTGCAGCTTCAAATTACAATGTGCATTAGAGTGCAATTTTTCTATCCTTACTGAGTTCTGACAGCGGTGTGAGAAGTGTTTGGCTAGTCTTACGCAGCATGTTGGGTTTGAAGGAAGACATGGCAACAAGCCAAGAAAGTGAAAATTAGCAAACAAGTATTAACATTTTTATACATTAAGCTACCCTGCAGGGTTATGTGTTCACTAAATTTTAAAGAATTGTTTTAAAAGTAGAGGAAATGAAAATAGCACTAGCTCTTCTGATTCTTCGTTGGAGGATGTTATTATCGTATCCCAGTACATTCTAGCTGCTATGGTAACCAGTTAACTTACTGACAATCGGCAGATAAAGTTTAGACATCGTTATGTACATGAAGTACCTTTTTAAAAAAATTATGTAAATTCTTCCATGTACATTTTCCTCAGTATTAAGGGTTGTACTTTCTTTTGAAATTTAGATCAGCTGCATCCAAAAAGTATTAAATAAAATTTTTGAAACAGGTCATTTGCAGCATGTATACAAATTAGTTTAGATAAATCATGCATTGTCCTACAAACTAGTTATTTCTGGCTTATTGTAATATAGCTCCTGAATTTTTTCCAGCAGCATAATAAAATGGCTAATCAGGTGAATGGTAATGCGGTACAGTTAAAAGAAGAGGAAGAACCAATGGATACTTCCAGTGTAACTCACACAGAACACTACAAGACACTGATAGAGGCAGGCCTCCCACAGAAGGTGGCAGAGAGACTTGATGAAATATTTCAGACAGGTATAATATGCATTTCTTGTTTCTGACTGGTTATGAAAGTGAGGGCATACCATTTTCAAATTTTTATAGATTAAGGTTTAAAAATACATTGTTTTTGATCTGTGTAGCTCTGAATGTTTTGCTACTTTGACTTCCCTAAAGGCAAATTGGGTTTGACATTGACTAATTACTTGACACATCCTTAGTGTTGTATGTGATATCTTAGTTGCTTTAGGGCACAGAGCACTAGTTCCTTAGACGTTGTCAAATAAAGATGTATGTTTGAGCATACTAAACTGTACATTTTTTTTCTTCAATCCGAATCATCATTTTGCTTTTACTTTTCTACTGTCAACTCCTCACAGTGGTTCTTAAACACTCAAAGGCTGGATAGGTGACTTAGTGAGGGAAGCAACTAGCTTGTCTTGCCTGGGACTACATTTGAATTGAGTCTGCCTGTGGATTTCTTGTTCTCTCTAGTTCTGAGTGGACAGTTTAATCCATGTTGGTTATTACACCGAAATGTTCAGTTTGATACTAACTGCTTTTCAACAAAGTCGAGGACTAAGCTATCTAGCAAATTGAGTTAATACCTTGCTGGTAGCAAGTGGTCTCTGCAACTTCTAGAGAGGTTTCTTTATATACAAAGGTTTTTCTATTTTGTTTTTGTAACCCCCTTATTTTGTCCTATAGACAGAGGCATCCTTTTCCTCTTTAGAGTGTGTTCTGTGAACAGATTTACAAGAAGCAGTAGAAATGCTCTATGTGCTGATCTTGAATGCCTTGGTGGCAAGATGACAGTTTTTGTTGAAAAGAGTCAAAATTTCACTGATCAAGTGAAGGCAGTTCATAAAACATTACCGTACCAATCTTCAGTATTGATACTCTAGCTCATGTGGATGATGTCTTTTGGAAGTCATTCACAGTGAGCTTTTATCGAGCCTTTACCAGCTTTTATTGGCTTTAGACATGCACTTTCTAACTGTGGGTCACGATGACATGCACTTGATGGTTTGAGAGAAGGTGTAAATGCCTGGGCAGAGGAACTTGTGGGGCTCTAACATGTGCTGCAGTTAGGTTGTGTTGTGAGGAGTTCTCAAGGGATTTAAAAGCTTTTTAGCCCAGAACATGACTACCTAGTATAATTCCACTGCATGAGTAACCTTAAAATATTTATTCACACTTCCTTAATGCCACTGAAGATGTTCGCATTGTGCAGGGGTTTGTCAGTGAAGCAAACTACTGTTGACACCCAAGCTAAATTTGGGGTTGAACTTTGGGATTTTTAATCTGCTAAGGTCTTATGTGAAAGATACGGGTGCCTTCCAATATGCAGGATCACTTCTGAAATGTAGTCCTTGGGCTTGGCACTACTGTGCCTTTTTGAAATCAAGTAGCAGTTAATCTGTGTATTTTGGAGATCAAGCTGTTGCAAAGTGTGTGGAGTTCTTGGTACTTGTCCTGAATTTCACTGTGTAGTTGAAAAAGTGCAATCTTAGTCTATATTTCTCACGCTCCACAGCTTATGCAAGTGCATTATGAAAGGAAAGAAATAACCTGTAAAGATCCTTAAAGAGAAAAAGTGCTTCAGAACTGGTCCAATGTTTCTTGGGGGAGTCTGTACCTGTAAAATTAACATTAGCCTTTTCGGGTACATAGCAGGGCTTGAAATAATACCTTTTTGAATTTTGGCTCTTGAACTGCATAGAGCAACAAAATGAGTAAAAAAGAAAAATTATTTGAGATACATAGGAAGTTCACTGATTTTTGCTTTTTGACATTGGAGGAAGGAGTGAACAAACCATTCTACTTCATAATATTTTGTGGGGTAGAGCTTCATAAGTATTTGATTGTCAGTTAGGTAGCTCCTTTTTCACGTACAACAGGATACCTGCGATGTTCCTGTCAGCTGACTCTAGAACAGCTCCATTCAAGAGAAGGAAGCGTGAAACTTAAAACGAAAGACAAACAAACAAACAAAATCCAAATTGTTAGAAGTGAGCCAGAGTTCACTATATCAAATCCTGGTGTGTAATACTGCTTTTACGCAGCAGATTGGATTCCTGAATGTTAGGAAACTGTTAACACATGGGGTATAGTCTTCCATGTCAGTTAGTGCTTAGGTATATACATTTTAATTTAACTTTTTTCATTGTTGTACTCATGTTCTTTCATATACTTGTGTAGGAATATGTAATTATATTAAATGTATAATTCTGTTGCTATGGAACATAACTTTTTGACTTTAAAAGCAAACTGCATAGTTCTTAGTTTGTATGAAATTAAATAGAAATCTGTAACTTCTTTATCTTTAACTTTTAGGGTTGGTAGCTTATGTCGATCTTGATGAAAGAGCAATTGATGCTCTTAGGGAATTTAATGAAGAAGGAGCCCTCTCTGTATTACAGCAGTTTAAAGAAAGTGACCTGTCGCATGTACAGGTAAGGTGAGAGCTCCAGGGGTGTGAGCACATAAATATATATAGTGTTCTGGCACTATTGGCAGGAGAGTTGTAACTTAGAAATGAATCGATGTTGCTCTATTCTAACATTTCAAACCCAAATCACAAGACTGTTAAAAATTGCCTTAAATGCATAGGTATTTGAGTGCAACCCAAAAGCTCCCAGATAATAAAAATGAGTGTGCTGTTGGGAAAATAAGGTAAAAATGTCACCTGAAATCTGATGATCTTTTCAGTCTGACAACTTTGTTCAAGTAATTGCTATATTTTTCTAAAGGATTCTTTTGACATTTTGCTTATTGCATTGGCATGATGTAGTGACCTCATGGTATGGAGTGTAAGATTTGGTGGATTCCCAGGGCTTTTCATATGCACAATTGAATTATTTTGTAAATTGTGTCTACAGAACAAAAGTGCATTTTTATGTGGAGTTATGAAGACCTACAGGCAAAGAGAGAAACAAGGCAGCAAAGTACAGGAATCAACGAAGGGACCAGATGAAGCAAAGATTAAGGTAACATTTAGAAAATACTGATTATTCTGTACTACTGATATTAACTGTATGCAGACTGAAGTAATTTTGGATGTACTTAAAAAGCATCAGTACTACCTGGATAAGTATATTTACACTTGGCTTTAAAAAAAATGTATGCATGATAGAGATTGAAAAGAGAGCGTGCTTGTTTGAAATGCAGATCTTCCTGATTATACAACTGCTAAAATGCATGAACTTCACGTTATGTAATGTCTATGGAAACATTGATATCTATTTAAGAATTGTCTTGGTTGTCCTTTTATATTAATGCTTTTACGCACTCATAAAATTACTTTGAGACTGAGTGGACCCTTCAACAAGGTACTAGTATATTAAGAAACTTGTGCAAAAACAGAAGTGCAGAGTGAGTGAAAAGAATTGCCTGATCTTCTGGAGTTCTTGGGGTACTACATATAAAATGGAAACAAGGGAAAAGAAAAAGGAGTTCTTTCCAGTGACCTTGTAGTATAAAACAAATGTTGCTGTTTGTGGTGATGCTTTTTAAACGCCAAAAATAACAGGGTTCTGTCTGTGCATATATACCTTATTATCAAATGTGGCAAGGAGCAGATAAGGAAATGCTTATTTAAGACACTTTTTTATTCTTTATATTTTAACCCACTATCCTCCCCCCTTTCAGGCTTTGCTAGAGAGGACTGGTTACACTTTGGATGTAACTACAGGACAGAGGAAATATGGGGGCCCTCCTCCAGATACTGTATATTCTGGTGTTCAGCCTGGTATTGGAACAGAGGTTAGTATATACAGACTAATGTGTTATTTTTTATGTTTGCACAAACAGGTGGAATATACTAGGAAAGGCTATGTAAAATTTATTAAAATGTAAAATAGATCATTAAATTGTCAGAATTCACATTCCACCCTAAAGCCCTTATGGTCCATCGCTTTAAAAAGTGACCAACATAGGTATTGGCTGTATAGATACATCAGTGTGACTCAAAGGTATTTGACTTTTTTTTTTTACAACATAAATGGAACTTAAGCGACAGTAGCAAGGTTTGTTTTGTGCAGTGTGCTGAAAGTGAAAGACTTGGGTATTTTATAAGGATACTCACAAAGTTTTGAGTGAAGAGGACAACTGAGATTAGTAATTATATTAAGGAATTGTATAAGAAAACATCCTGGATGATTTTCTAAAGTGTTAGTGAATTGCACCACGCCTCATTGACATTAGGGAGCAATTCTTTACTGGGAGGGTGGTTCAACACTGGAACAGGCTTCCTAGAGAGGTGGTCGATGCCCCAGGCCTGTCGGTGTTTAAGAGGCATTTGGATAGTGCCCTTAATAACAAGCTTTAGCTTTTGGTCAGCCCTGGAGTGCTCAGGCAGCTGGACAGGATGATCACTGCAGGCCCCTTCCAATTGAACTAGTCTATTTTATTCATGACTGAAAATACTTGACTGATCTTAAGTATTTTTTCCTATTGGTGATGGTTAGCCTCTTTGGGAAGTCACAGGAAAGCTGTAAAGTTGGCTGTGTTTTAATACTATCAAGAATATGTTTTTATACTTTTAAGTTTCCCGAAGCTTGGTAGAATGGCTAACTTGTGGAAACTCCCTTAAGATAAGAACCTAAATGCTTCTCCCATGAATCAGCATTAGAGGCTGTAGGAAAACCCAGACAACTAGTTATAGAAACCATACTTCTAGCGAATTGATTTATTGCTGGCATTTTGTAGGATTTAAAGAGTAATTACTGCTTTAGACATGCTGCTTGGTTTGACTGGCTGAGATGCTGAACAGCTTGCTGAAACTGGTGTATGGTTTATTAAATTTAGTCTTTAGCTCTTGCTGTTTTGCTCTGAGGCATGGTAACCAACAACTCGTAATCAACACCAGCTAATTTGTCTCTTTAAAACATAACGTGGAATTCATTACATGTTAATTGTAGCTTTAACTGTCTTTCACTATGTATTTGAACATTGTGCAGTAAAGCTAAAATATTCATAAATAATCTTATGGATGTTCAGCATGTTGAACATTCACAAATTGTCACAGTGAACGTTTTGCTGAAAGCATTATGTGGGTGAAGCTGTCCGATGTGTGTGGTTTTTTTTTTCAAGTGGGTGGGCTTTAAGAGCAGCCGGACCTTTTTGGAATGTGATTCTGTAATAATGACAAAGCTACAGCTGTGCAGAAGCTTGGAAGAAAAAGTAATTGTAATAGGATTTGATATTAAACTTGAGTATTTGTTTTATTTAAGGACTTGCTGCTCCAGTGTAAAGCGTTTTGCTTATAGTGAAGTCAAATGATGTTGATACTTGGAGAAGTTTATGGGAGTGTTTACTGGATGAGAGTGAAAGCAATTATTTGGGTCTTTCTTTTTCTTATCCTGGCTTTGTCATTTGCATCTGCAAACATTAATAACTGTTTGTCCTCAAGGGGCTTGTACAGTGCTCCTTTGTTTTGCCTAAAATTTCTAAGATGTTTTTTTCTCTGCTTTTCCTTACATCCTGTTACATCAGCTGTTCTCAAAGATGATCAGAAGGATTTTAAACATTGAGGTGGTTTTTTTTTGTTGTTTTTTTTTTTCTTCTCTCCTCCTTTCCCCCCTGCCCCAGTAAGCACATCGGGAAGTTCAAGGTCATGATTGAACCTGTGCATTTTGCTAGCCAAGCTATGAGCAAACATCAGTTTGGTTATGAAAATGCTTGAGCTCTGTATTTTTTTGCTTACCTATTCTGCAAGGTTTTAGTGCCTAGCAAGTTGGTTTGTACTTTATTCTAAGCACTTTGAATACTCTCAGTCACACTGTTGTGACTAGTCTTTGGTACTGGAGTTCTTTTGGAGATTCTTCTATAAACCACCCAATTAGATTTAAGAAAATGGTCAACTTCTTGAATGTCTTTCAGTTTTATCCTTTGAGATGCTGAAGCTTTTGTGTATACCATCAAGAAGATACTTAGAAGCGTCACAATAAGGATTATTTCTAAAGGGAATATTCATATTCTATGAAGAAAAATAATTTCCTTGGCAGGGGGAAATAATTAGAATGGGTCCATGAACTGAAAGATAGTAACTGATGATTTGCATAGCCTGTCAAGCTCTGTTTAGGTATGCTTCTCTATGCTAATTGTAGTTTATCATTTTACTAAAGTGTATATGCAAGCAATGCTGAAAAAAGATTTTTTTTTTTATATATATTCTTAAATTCCATTTTCTTACACAAAACTACTTTAAGTTGTCTTACTATGGTTTAGGATAAACCAGTTGTTCAGCAACACTGGAGGATACATAGACAGTAATAAGGAGCTTTTAGTTGTTAAATTCAGGAAAACTGAAGGATCATTATATATATTTATTTTTATATATATATACTTACATATATATATATATATTGCCTGTCTGGACTAATGTTACACCAAAAATTAAGGAGGTGACTGATGTGGCACTTCTATCCTTCACCTTTTGGTGTAAATGAATGTAATACCATTTAAGACATGACATGACATGAACAGGAGGCTTCATTGCTAACTGTAAAATACCAGCCTTTTACCCCACTATAACTGGGATGGGGGAAAGCATTTTTCAAAATTACCACAGTGCAGCTAGTGTGAAGATGGTAATTGACTTAAGTCTGTACCGATTACTGGAATTGTTTGGGCTTTATTGAGGGGTCTCCAGATAAAGCAAGTCCTACTCCTAAAGTTTTGAGATACTTTTATTTCAGTGTTTTTCAGCGCTGTGAAATAAAAACTTGAAAATCCTGTAAATAGATTATGTGCCCATAACGCGCTAAGATGATGTGCAAGGTTAGATATTTGTATAACAGCTTAGATGGTATAAAATGGAGGAATTGTTACATGTCCTTTTCAGAGCTGAAATTTATTGGGTAAGTATCTTTGAATGTCGTTATCAAAAATGCAAAATTACTTTTAGCTCTGTGAATGGTAAGTTGGTATGGCATCTGCTCCTCTGTGGGTGCATGGTCAGAATTTGTAACAAAAAGTCAGAGAAGGGTTCTGAGGTTAACTTGCAATCCGGACAATGTTACGTTATTGGAGATGTTGGGGCAATTTAAACTGCTTTTGTCCATAACAAACTGAATGGAAAGAATTAGATGCTGTCATAACTCTAACTTAAGAACCGATGGTATAATAAACTCAGCAGAAGCTGAACTAGACAAAGCTTGTGCTGGATTTAGTACACAAATGGAATGTTGCTTTTGTACTGGAAGAACTGTTGGGGGTTCAAAGGTTTTTTGCACTGTGCCAGAATTTTTTTCCTTTTCCATGCTTTTTCTAATGAATATTGTAGATTTGGATAAGATGAAGCAGTCATGTGGTCTACACTAATTAACGTTTAAATATATGGCATTTAGGAAAGATTGACTATAAAGCCCATGAGGAGCCCTATTAAAAAGAGAGATTTTGAAGAAGCTCTTGCAACCCTGCAGTACACTTCTGTTAGCTTGTGTTGACAACAGAACAGGCTCAGTTGTTGAAATAACTGAAGGACGCATCATCTAGAGTGCAGAAGTGGACTGCACCCCTCAATGCTCTGTAAAGTTGTTCAGGAAACTGAAATTGAGTTTTTTCCTAGTTAAGACTTCTAACAATTAATTGTCTAAAACAGTAATAAGGAAGAAGTAAAATGGAGTACTTCGTACAGGCCCTTTAGGAAGCAAAACTGGAAGAAGTAATGGTCAGTGATACCACCAAAGGCCCAGAAGTGATGCAGTTGCATCCTACTTAGACAAGACTTCTTGCATTGTTTTGCTGATAATGCCAGTTCCCAAAGTTTTTCCACAGTACTGTTGTGGAACTAAAAAATGAAAAAAGTTCTGATATTTACGTTCTTTGGTATTTTAGCAACTTTATTCAAACTTATCAACATATCAAAAAAAAATTAGCGCAGATGTTTCTTCTGACCCTTGCAAGACGCTCACCTGGTGGTTGACGTGTCTAGTATTGATCTTGTAGTTCATTAATGTATTAAGTTTACAGGCTCAAAGCAAATTCATTTAGATGTGAATTATTCCCACAGAGTCTTTCCCTTATAAATGGAAGTTACTCTAGAATATAGGTCAGATATGAATGTATTCAAATTAAATCCTTAATTCTGTTTCTCATACTAGCTCCTAGAGTGTATTACCTGAACTGAAATGTAGTAGCAGTCTTGTGGGATTGTGTTCTAAAGTTTGTGGAGAGTGAGCCGAAGAGACTAGGAAGAAAGTAAACAGAAGCTTTCAGGATGGTAAATATTTGGTAAATAGCTGGAAAAGTGAACTTCATATTTTGATTAGGGCTTTTTCTTTTTCTCAAGTCTTCTGGTGTGTCACCTCCAGTTTCTGCTGGAAACTGCGGCATCTGAAACAATTTAATGCGGATTTTTTTTTACATTTGACTGACTTAAAAACAGTTACAGTTTGTAGAGTGTTCAGCTGACAGTTTCTCTGTCTTAGTAGCAAGTTGGAGTTCCTGTCTTATGCATTTCCATGATGGTGTCAGTTTTTTGTCTTTAAAAACTGTGCATAGGTTTTGGAATGAAATGTCAATGGAAATGCCTATCTGTAGTGATTTCTAAGCTTTTCAGGGAGTCTGAGGGGAAAGTCTGTTGGCTCTGCCACTGAATTTTCAATCAGTATGATAAATGCATTCCTTTTTTTCCCCAATAGCAAATAAATCGTGGTCAGTTGGCATTCACACTGAATGTGAGGCTAATCTAAGTGAAAGAAATGTTCTGGGAACTGAATTTCAGGAATACCTGTATAACATAAGGAAATATCTAAAGGTTCTAGCTTTCCTTTGGAGGAAAACAATTTGTTCCACATTTTTAAAATCAGAGTCATCATGCTTGTCTCACGAGTTTGTTCATATCAGTGCTTACATGGGCATTCCGAGTGTCTTTAGTTTTGGAATGATCTGCTAAGCCTTCAGTACCAGGTATCACTATGGCAAGGCCTTGTCTAGATAGAAAAGACTGAGTCCTCCTAGCCTTTTTTTTCCTAAAAAAGATATTTGAAGTTCAAATAAATCTTAGTGGGTGTTAGGAATGTTTTGTTTGTATTAGCAAGTCAGAGATTTTGAGAACTCAGAGGAGAGCTGCAGTGATGAAATGACTTGGGGGGAGGAGGGGAAGGGGAAGGGAAGCTTTCTAGAGAGACCTCAGCTGAAGAGATTAAACTCCTTAACAGAATTTTACCAAAGTTTGTCATTGCTCTGTGGAAGGAACAAAAACATAAGGACTCCAGATCTTTCTCAGACAAATACTAAAACATTCAGTTGGTGGAAGCTGAAACAAATGCAGACTAGAAATAAGATTACAGTAGATATTAAAAGTGGAAAATGTGCATCAGGCAGTTTAAGGATTTTTGTAGATTTTTTTCCATCTTTACCTTTCTAATGAAGATTGGGTTACAGAATGATTTGAAAATACTGCAAGGGCAAGGAAGTGCTTGGCCTGCTTTAATATAGGATACTCAGCTCTGTAAGGTCTTTGCTTTAAATTGCCAAAATTATAAGCAGGTAAGAACCATTTACCTTTTCAGTGGTGGAAATTTACAACCTCTTCAATATAAATAACAAAACCAGGTTTTCCATATGTATAAACCTAGTACTAATAGTGGGAGGTTTAGAAGACTTAGTAGGACATAGAGTAATGTTGGCTGTAGTGAAGGCTGCAGTAATGGCTACAGTGTTCCTGCTGTGGTGGTTTATGCTGCAATGTATTTCCTTTCCCAGGAACTTTAAAGTATTAAGAGGCTTGGATTTCTGAAAAGCTTTGTTTAAATGTCCTCTTCCTTTTAGGTTTTTGTTGGTAAGATTCCCCGAGACTTGTATGAAGATGAATTGGTACCACTCTTTGAGAAAGCTGGTCCAATTTGGGATCTGCGCCTCATGATGGATCCTCTTTCTGGTCAAAACAGAGGTTATGCTTTCATTACCTTTTGTAGTAAAGATGCAGCACAGGAAGCAGTCAAACTGGTGAGTAACTTATTTTCAGACTGGACAAGACAATGTAAACAGCAAACATGTTGGTAATATCTTAGATAATAAAGTCTTTGAAGTGTTTCGTTAAAACATCCATCATTGACAGACTCAAAATTTTACTTTCTTAAAAATTGTCTCCTTGTTTGATTTGGTGTATACAAATAATGTTCTACTTTTAGGACCATAGTCTGCTATAGCCTACTGCAGTCTGCTAGAGTACTTGGGTGATTATAGTAAGAGCTTACTTGATTACAACTGGAAAATATGTTCTTTAAGCTTCACTGTGTCTAAGTTTTATCGCCCTTTCTGTTACAAAGAGCCAATTAGAGATGCTTTGTTTTGCTGTGCTGTGGAGGAGGTCTCTGACATGGTGCTCTTTATGGTTCACAGTGGCCTTTAGTTCTTTCAAATGGCAGTCGTGTAGTCAGCTCACTACATGGAACCTGACTTGGCCTGCATCTAGATGCTTTGGCAAAGGACGCAGAGCAATCCCTAGAGAGCTAAAATGAGACACAGCAGTCTGATTGGGGCCCTGCTTCATTTGGCCTTGCCTCTGCCTGAGGGGAGGAAGTAAAATTAGGCAGATCAATGTGATCTCCCAAGGTTTTGCATATGGCTGTGAAATACTGCTTGTACTTTGAACCAAAATAGGTGAAATGCTTTTATCTCATTTGCCTTAGCAGAGTTCTGCTGATTCTGTATGAGGAATATGGGGGGGGGGAGGAACCTAAACATCCAGTTAAGCTGCAGTAAAAAAAAGCAGCTGAACTTAAGAAGTGATTCTGTTGCATTGTAAAGGCTTCAGAAGGAGTCATTGCCTCTAAATGTTCCAGTGCTTGTTCCCTCAGATGTTTTCGTGTCTTGAGAAGTAGTTGCAGTTGTTATGTTAGGTTCTTTCAGGACTGCGAATAGCATGTCCCTGCTTAGGCTGTTTTTCCTTTCTAGAACCTCCTTGGATGTTTCCTGAAGGAGATGCACAAAATACGCTTTTTGCAATAGATTGCTTCTGGATTTCAGTGTTTGAAGATGGTGGATATAAGTTACTGTCACTTATGAAGGAAAAATTGTTTTGAAACTTTTTACTTTTTTAACCAAGTTGAAGGTGCTCAGAGTTGTTGCTGGTTGAGGGAGATGAAAGGGAAGATTCTGAAGTGACAAGAGATGTAGCAAGTGATGTGCCAGTGATGGAAGACTAGCCTCCATACCCTGGATATTGTACCAAATAAGTGAATTTGTATGAATACATTCCTTAAGTCCTGTATCTGGATTCCCTTCCCCCTACCTCCTCCACCCTACCATTTTCTGATAATGGGACCAGGCTTGTATTTAGGTACAAAATTTCTGTCTGTATTTTCCACAGACTGCTTGGGGAAAGGAAAATGGGGCAGACCCATGCTGAATTTTGGGGGTAATTAAACCTTGATAGCAGTGTGAGATTCTTTCAGAAAATAAACTTCAGATTTTGAAGTCTTGGTTCCTCTACACCTAGTGGGCCTTCTGCTTGTATTCACAGGTATCAGTAGGAATGGGATTGGTTATAGGTAAAATGGTTTTGTAAGATAAGGTCTAATTTGTAAAGCACATTGAGATTAAGTTCACGGCACCGGAACACAAATTTTTATTCTGTTACGAATCACTGTTGTATGTAAAGCAAAATTCTGAAATGTTTTTGTCTTCCTTAAAGTGATCTTGTTTGACAGCCTGTGGTACCTCAACCTTGTTCTAGTTCTTCTTGAATATGAAGGTTACTGAAGGTATTGCTCTGTCATCTGTATGGCTGTCTTAGCTAGGGTAAAAATGGCTGAAAACTTGCTTTTAAAGAATTGGATGAGATTTTCGGAAGCTGGCTAATGGATCAAACATCCATCCTCCTAGCTTGTGTTTGAAAGGCCTACCTAAAACAAAGATGATGTCTACCTTGAATTTTTATTTTTAAATTTTGAACTCTCTTTAAAGACCTATTTGGAGTCTTGGTGTTTAGAGTAATCCAACTGAGGGTACAAGCGTGAAGCAGTGAGCTGAATTTTTTAAATGGGAAGTTGTAAAACTTAACAGTAAATTTTAGAGTCCTAGTATTTACAACGTCCAAAAAAATCCCTGTGGTGGGGGTGGGGGGAACAAGGTCACACACTGATACAGGCTTTTTTGAGTATCTCACAGCAGATATGCTTAGTGTTTAAAAGAATTAAGGTGGGAGAACTCACAGTATCTATAATGGTATGCATTTGCTTATTAGTAACAGCAGCAGTGACTGACATTTGAGTCCCAGCACAGGAAGCAGTCGCCATTTGTCTAGAAAGAGCTTTCCAGTCTGAGATAAACAGTAGGTAAATGAATTTACCCCATGCAATTTCTATCTGTTACATGGTCTTCCTTGCACATCAGTTTCTTTGTAGCTTTTCATTCATCAGAACTTCCGATGTTTCTATGGAAAGCCTAAGCTCGGCAATGTTTTTCCAAGTGAATGCTGACCCAATGCTGACTTCAGTCCTAGTACTTCTCTTGCAATGTGAATTCAATATGCTATGTCTAAAGTAGTAGATCATGAAGAAAATAAGAAGCTGATCTTATGACTTTGGGGATTTTTTTAATTCATATTATTGTGGATAAAGCAAATTAATGGCTTTTTGTTTTCTCAGTGTGACAACTATGAAATCCGTCCTGGGAAGCACCTTGGAGTATGCATCTCCGTGGCAAACAACAGGTTGTTTGTTGGGTCAATTCCAAAGAACAAGACTAAGGAAAACATCTTGGAAGAGTTCAGTAAAGTCACAGGTAAGGCCTTCTTAATGAGTTTGTCGCACTGATCCCAAGGTCAGTCTCTCTGTTTTGTAGGTGTAGTTATTTGACAGATGCATTCAGCTATTATCCAAGTTGGATTCCAAGTTTATTTCTGGTAGAAATTTTATATATTAAATATATTTTATGGCGGAGTGTAAAGGGAGTAGTGTCTTTTACTGATGGTTAAATTAATGATATTGTAGGTTTACAATATGAGAAGGAAACAGCACAAATGAGCTGAGGAAAAAAAGTGAAAGTCCTAATTCTGTTACCTGTTCTAGTTCCCAGTATTGGTAACTGAATCTACAGTAGATTCTGCTTTCACAACAGAGAGTGTTTTGGGGAGCCTCAAACAAATGTATTGTTGAGGAATGATGGGGAGGAGGGAATGCTAAATCAGTTTAAAGGGAATGTTATTGTAGAAATAGTTAATGACATTAATCTCTGTCACAGTTCTTCAGTGTTGTTCCCCAGTATATGCAGCAAGTAGGAAGAAAATAAATCAGCTCATCACTGGAAGGATACTTCTGCTTTAAATAAGAGATTGAACTCTTGATCGCCTGCTTTTGTTCCTGTAGGAGAGTTTTAACTTACTGATTCTTTTTTAGGATTGCTATTTATAAGTACTTCAGGGAAATGGTGAAAACAGAAGGTGAATATTCATTTAGTTATCTCTCCTCTTCTTTGGAGAGATGTGGAAGAAATTCTTTCCAGCTTCCCCTGGAGGCAGAGAGATGCCATGTATTAGTGCTGACTGTTTTTCAAAACTGTAAAAATGGTAAAACAAAATACAGGAAACTTAAGACTGCGTGAACTGTTCAGGTTGATGCAGGGCCTAATTTTGAGGTAAGATTGTTCTAGAGAATTTCACCTGCTAGGTGACCTGTTTCTGGGTAAATTGGATGGATATCTGTTACTTGTTTTGCTTTTCTTGTGCTCCCTTCCTCTTTCAGGTGTTAAATTCAAAGGCTGTGTATTATAAAAAGGAAGTGAAGGCATTTTAGAGTAGACTCAGGTGGGTTTTTTTTTCTTCCTTTTGAACCTTAATACTAAAGACCTGTTTTTCAGAGGGTTTGGTGGATGTAATCTTGTATCATCAACCTGACGATAAAAAGAAGAATCGAGGATTCTGCTTCTTGGAATATGAGGATCACAAGTCAGCAGCGCAAGCTCGCCGCCGCCTGATGAGTGGGAAAGTAAAAGTCTGGGGAAACGTTGTGACAGTGGAATGGGCTGATCCAGTAGAGGAACCTGATCCAGAAGTCATGGCAAAGGTATGTAAAAGCTTAACGGGATGCTTTTGTGCTTTGGGAGGAATTTCTTTATGCCATAGTGACAAAGATTTGTTCCAGCTGAGCAATGCTAGTTTTGAGGCACAAAAAGCAGTTAGAGCACATTTTTGTAGTAAGCCATGCAAACTGGCATCGTCTGAGCACTGCAAATTAGTTGCCCCTCTAACATGTTAGGGACATGCTGTTGTAACTGACTGTTCACATTTAAACTATAGTGTGCAAGATACCCTACTGGATTGGCGCATCAGTCTGTTCATTATCTGCTTCTGCTAATAATGAATACTAGGTGGGTATTTTATAAAACAATTTTCAAGAGTGAGATGAAGGTGAAGTGAGATAACTCCTTCCTGCTCTCAAAGTCTATTACTAAAACTTTACTGGGATTTGTAGCATCCCAGAAGCAGAAAATCAAAGCTGGATATTCTTCTGGTCAAGGAAGGGAACTGTGGAAGGAGAGAAGTTGTAGAAACTTCGTACAGGTAACTACAAGGCTGCTTTTTTTTTTTTTTTTTTAAACAGGTACATAAGGTTACCCAAAATTTCTTAATGCAGAGAAGAAGGGAATAACATCATGTTAGTTTCCTTTGAGGTTTGACTTTTAAAGATTACAGCTTGCTTTCTCATTTTTTTACCAGGTGAAAGTTTTATTTGTAAGAAACTTGGCCACTACTGTGACAGAAGAAATTCTTGAGAAATCCTTTTCTGAATTTGGGAAGTTGGAAAGAGTAAAGAAGTTGAAGGATTATGCTTTTGTTCATTTTGAGGACAGAGGTGCAGCAGTGAAGGTAGGTTGATTATTCTTTCCTAGCTAAACTGATGTGAGCAGTTTATTTTGTACAAATGGTTTTAAGACATTTCTTTACAGTAAATATCTAGATAATTTGTAGAGCCCATTTTTATTAATGGTTCCAATTGTGAGAATTTTAACACTAATGATTTTGTTCCTATGATTTCAGTAGCTAGGAGGATGTGAAACTTGCAAAGGACAAAACTGTAGCAAGTTAACAAGTAGACTGGAAAAGAGGTATAGCCCAATGCAGGAGAGTCTAGAGAAGAGGAAAAAAAAAAAAAGATCAACCTAGACAATTTTTCTGAGGATACACTGACAGAAGGTATCAGTTGTCTCTCAAAGACCACTATTTAAAGGCTGTGTGTAGTTTTGGAGTGACAAAAGTATTGAATAGAAATTGCAAGGTAATTAAAAAAAATGCCTCGTGAAGGGGAGAAGAATGGCACAGGCAACTCCGTTAATGCATTACCGATTTGTAACTCTACATGCTCACTAGAAGGTTTCTTCTAAATGACTTCTTAAATATTGGAGGTCATTATTGTAAGCTTCGAAGGTGTTTTCCTTTGTATCTAAGAGCAGTTGAGAACGTCGTTGATCTCTGCTGTTTGTACTGGATTGAATTCTATAGAAACGACTCCATGTGTTTTTTAAATTCATAGCTTTTGGGGGAGAGAAGGAGGGGAGAAAGTGTTTTGTGCCTGAGAGTCTTGAGCAGGTACATTGTATGTGGCCACACAGACAGTTCAAAGGCTCTTTACTCAATCTTATTAATAATTTTATAACCATTATATAACCATAACACGATTTTCCTATCCACCAAAATAGTGTTTAGAATGCTCTTGAGTTTGGCTTTAGGATGAATGTCACTCATATTTAATGACGTTGAAGTCAGTTTGGATAGGTTTAGACCATGTCCAAGAGAGGGTAAGAGGTTGTTGACAGAAAGGGTAAGTCACCTCTTGGCATTTTTTGTTGTGGTATGTCTTTAAATATTCTAGTCCCTTCCCAGTAGACCTTGCTTCTAAATGCTCTGTTAGATTTGAGTGACTGAAAACTTGTAGCAGATGAGAAAAGATAGATCAAATGCAGTACAGCAGACCATCTCTAATGCTCATCTTCTCTGAAACAAGCTGCAATACTACCACATCTACTGCATGTGACTGATGTATGGCCACCAAATTGGTTTATGAGTTTTGTGAGATTTTTGTGTATGGGTGTGTTGTTTGCTTTTTAGTGAAAGCATTATTATGATGATAATAATGGGAATGCATGAAATTGGCTCATTGATTCCAGTGTCTACTTACTTTCATACCTTCTTTGAAATAAATCACCATGATCTCTTAATGTTTTTGAGGCATGTAGCTGTACAGATATGTAAAGACTTCAATGCAAATATTAACACCCAGAAATGTTAAATGCAAAGCAGATAACTCCAGGTAAAGAATTGGGGGGATGTAGTCCTAACCATACTTTGTGTATGTATATTAAGTTTTCTTTGTGTGTGCATTTGATAATTACAAATTACACATTACTTTTCTGGAGGGTTCTTGCCTCACTTGATGAGATCACCAAGTTTCAGTAATCTTTTTTCTCCTTATGTATGTATTCTTGGAAATACTTGACTTTCTCAGAGGCACTTGTGTAGCACATTCAATGAGCTAGCAAGCCCAAATATAAAAATGCTCTTTTTCTCATGTACGTGCACTCTTACCTGGCTTACAAATGCAGTGAGTGTTCACGTCAGAATCACAGAATCGCAAGGGTTGGAAGGGACCTCGGGAGATCATCTAGTCCAACCCCCCTGCTAAAGCAGGCTCTCCTAGAGCATTCTACACAGGACTTCATCCAGGCGGGCTTTGAATATCTCCAGAGAAGGAGACTCCACAGCCTCCCTGGGCAGCCTGTTCCAGTGCTCTGTCACCCTTAGAGTAAAGAAGTT